CTCTGTTATCCACTCAATCAGAGATTAAAATATTTTAAAATTTAACTATTTGGATCATGGTAAGCCCATTTACATTTTTTAGAATGGAGTAAGTGTTATTTTTATAGAGAAGTCAAATATTCATTCCTCCCATATTGTCGATGTGGGAAAAATCCAAAAGGCTATATATGATCAATATTTGGTCAATAATGTTGTGATCAATTTCTGCCAAGTATTTGTTCGTCAAAAATTACTCACGAATTTTCGACCAAATTCCATTTTAGTCGATATATGTTAAGAATATTTTGACTATTTACTGACCACTTGTATTAGTCAAAAAAGTTTGATCATATTTCGAGGAGTTTAAATTTTCATTATTTTTTTGTCGAAAATTTGTCAATAAACTTTTTGACCATTTTACTGGTAAAAAATTAACGTGTATTCTTCACAAATTTTCAACTAATCTTCTTTATCGCAATTTTTTGACCATTTCTTGACAAATTTACTAATCTGTTAAAAATTGGTCTAAAAATTTCGACCATTTTTTTACTCTTATATTTCTTCATATTTTTTGGCTAATTTATAACGAAAATAAACATTTGTTTAAAATTGGTAAAAAATAAAATAGTTTATGACCATAAAAAAGTTGGTCAAAATTTGATATGTTTTCTTATAGTGAAATATAACCAAATAGACAGTTGTTTATAGATTTTAAAAGTGAATACTTAATATTTTTAGTTGAATTTTGTTTGGAGAAGTGATTTGCACTTTAAATATAGTATTATCAACAATTAGCTTTAGGTACTGAGAGAAATATGATTCCAAATTCTAAAACTTCTACTGATATTCAAATATAGAACAAGTGTTTACAAGGTTTACCAAAAAAAATCTTATTTATATGTAACAAATGTAAAAGTTAAAATCAACATAATTTCAGAAAAATGGGAATCAATATAGGAGTAATGTTTGAAAACAACAAAATATAGGAGTAATGCCTAACCACTATTGTCGGTAGTTGTGATCGGTAGTGGGAGTTGGACCCATTTGATATTCTAGCCTATAGTCTTGTGGAGAGGGATTGTAAGCCCATTCTATAGCCCGAAAGTAATTCTTTATACTAGTATTACCCACCCGTGCTACGCACGGGTATATCTTTGCTTTCATTTTTCTTTTTTGATAAATCAATGGTATCTTCCAAAATCCCATTAACTAATGTCAATTTCTTAGATTATTAACCAAATATAAATTTACTCTATTTTCCAATTCCCACATCAAAATTTGAAAAATCTTTTCCCCCGTTTAACACATAAACCGTAAAAGATTTCAGGGAGAGGAGAATATGTAAAGGGTTTAGACTATAGAGTCTTACCATTATGGTGGAGAGAATGGAAAAAAACCATCATGTAGAAGTTCATAATCTTCATGACGATCTTATGTCTGTTGAGATAAATGCAGAACCCTACGCTTTCTCCTCTTCTTTAGCCGCGTCTTGGTGCGTTTTCCAAATTTGTCATGTATTTACCTTAATCTTTCTACCCTGAACAGAATAAATAACAAAATTTGGTCTATATATTTGGAGATTCAAAGTCATAAATTCATAATTGGAAATGAGAAATCATGATGTTACCTAAAATGGTGTCTCCTTACCATAGAACAATTGAGGAAGAAACAAAATCTGAAATAATCAATTTATAGAGATGCAAAGGAAACTGGAAAGATAATGGCTATAATAGTGGGAGTTTTTCAAAATTTGTGATTTAGTATAATAAAGATGTCATGTACAAGGTCTAATAACATCATGCTTTTATAGTTTTATTGATCGATTTCGAGAATATCACCAACTTTTTCTTCACGTAATTATCAATCCTTTGAGAAATTAAATAGACAGCTTTAAAACTGATATCTATTGATAAATTATGTTTGTGTTAGTATTACGACTAGCTCAAAACTGGTTCGGCTCAGCTCTAAAAAAATACCAGATTTGGACCTAAATTAATAAGTCCAAATAAAATCTGGTCTTTTGGGCTAAACTCAATCGGGTTATTGATGTTTTTGGCTTTACCCTGGTTGGGTTCGAGCCAGCCCAGAAAACCCGAAAATAAATATATCATTTATAAGTTTAGTAATAAGTTTCGTTTAAAAATACTTTCTAAAGATAAGTTGATAAAAAATAACTTTTATATATTTTTTCCTTGGCCTAAAAGCATAATTCTACTACCTAAACTTTTAGTGTTTTGCTTATGTTTTATTTGGCAGTACTATTTATTTATAATTTCTTAGGTTCAGTTGACATTTGCATTAATTTAGTCAAACTTTTACTTTTAATTAAATTGAATTTTGATAAATATATATATTTAGTTGTTTAAATTTGGA